ATAAACAAATTTAATAAAAGCCCTATAAAAATATCAATGGAATTTTTCACAGAAATAGGACAGTCCTAAAATGTATATGGACTCACAAAGACTCACAGTAGCCAAAATAATCTTAAAGAGAAAAGGAATGAAGGATGTATTGCACTTCCTGATTTCAAACTATTCTACAAAGCTTGATGTATGCACGCGCGCACTGTGTCCGTTGCCCCTCCCCGGAAATGCCGCGTCCCCGGGCGTCGGAGGCGGAGGGAGTGCTTCCTGGAGCACAGAGGAGGTCACAAATCATGTGACGGCGGCTTGCGGAGGAACCGGTCTTGGAAGCTTGTCCCCGAGGCGGTGGACAGCCACGAACCTTGCTGCTCAGAGAGCCGGGTAACTGGGCCCCTTTGCCGGATGGTCAGGCCTGGGCCCGCGGGTGGCGCGGGCGCTGAGCTGGAAGAGGAGTGGACGCCCCTTCCCTTTCGCTGGGGACTTCGATCCAGGGGGCTGGGGAGGTGGAGTGGGCTGAGGCATGTCGGTGTCCGGGAACTCTGGCTCCCTTCGGTGTCCGCCACTCCTGGAGGCGCGGGTTCTTGCCGCTTGCTAGGGTCGCGGTGGGGCGCGAGGGAATCTTGACGGGAGAGTCACCAGGAGTTTCTTTTTCAGGCGTGGATCTTGAACCCGCGGGAGAAAGGGGTGCATCATGGCGGATGTGAGTTACCCCCCAGCACAGGAGGAAGGAGAGGGTGGAGAGTTTGGAAGGAGACTCCTGGGCGGGGAGAGGTAGCGCTTCCCCAGTAGAAATTTGTTTCGTTTTGGCCCCCCTCCCCGGTAATGGTTTTCTGTAGGCTCTGCAGTGAGCGGCTAATATGAATGGGTTTGCCGGGGTCCTGAGTGGGTCTTGGAAGGGGGGTGGAGGACACCAAATCCCGCGGGCATCGGAGGCTCTGAACATTGCCATTTGAGTTTATAAATTGTGGTTTGCTGCTCGGAATCCTTCTTTTTAGCAGTCGTCATGGTGTCTTTCTAGGTTCCTTGTAGCGATTTTAGTTGATTTCCAACTGGTGTCTCTTTAGCGCAGTAACACAAGTCAAATGCTAAGCTTGGGTAGCTTATGCTAGTTACTAGAAACAGCAGGGCATTAATACTCACACTCATGGTGATGCTTTACCTCCTGTTACTTTGCTTATGCACATGCTGAGTGTTCTAAATATTGAACATATATTCATTTCTTATAACTTTTGCGCGGTAGGCACTGTCACCCCTGTGATGATAAGGCACAGAAAGGTCAAGTAACCGGCCTCAGGTTACACAGCTAGTACTTGTGGAGTCCAGATACCACCTCGGGCAGTTTCGCTCCAGAGTCCATGCTCTTAACCATTACACTAAATAGTCATTCAGCATTAATATGAATCTGATAACTTTTCAGATTGCAAGATTATGTGTTTCAATATTAAGCAACATTTACTGCCCTTATATCTCCATTTTTGGGTGTCTTCCATTATATTTTTGAGACATTATTAGTCAGACATAATCAAATCACTTTCTATTGAGCATCTGTCTTGCAAAGGTTTCTGTCATAAGGGCTGAGGGTGAAATAATGAAGATTGAGGTATAATTCCTCTCCTTCAGAGTTTTACAACTTAAAAAAATACTATGCAAGGCTCATAGATATGCATACATTACCGTGTGAAAATTTCGAGTGATTACCTCTGGTTTGTGTCTATCAGGATAGCCTGATTGGAGTATTTGGTGGTTGATATTAGCTCTAAATGATGAGTGGCAACTTTTTAAAAAGTAAGAGAGGGAGAATATTACTACTAGAATGAATAATCTAAGCAGATTTGGGGAGAGGTATGTATGGAAGAGCTGTGAATAGTCCAGTTTACCTGGGGCTAAGGATATGTATGAGGGAGTGGTAGGAAGCAGAGCTGTAAACTTAGTCATAGGCCATGTTGTAGAGCAGCGGTTCTCAACCTGCGGGTCGCAACCCCTTTGGGAGTCAAATGACCCCTACACAGGGGTCGCCTAAGACCATCGGAAAACACATGTATAATTACATATTGTTTTTGTGATTGATCACTATGCTTTAATTATGTCCAATTTGTAACAATGAAAATACATCCTGCATATCAGATATTTACATTACAATTCATTAACAGTAGCAAAATTATAGTTATGAAGTAGCAACGAAAATAATTTTATGGTTGGGGTCACCACAACATGAGGAAATGTATTAAAGAGTGGCGGCATTAGGAAGGTTGAGAACCACTGTTGTAGAGTCTCACAGGTCTCAAGAATTGTCTATAATAATAAAAGCGTAATATGCTAATTAGACTGGACTTCCTTCCTTCCGGACAAAGCCGCAGTGGCTGGCCGGGGCGGAGGCAAAGGTGGCCACCGCAGGAGTTTTGTGCATTTGGCCTCTAGTTTGTACATAATTCAGTGTACAGTTGAGGGCCTTTCAAACATTGGTTCTGAACCTGGCTGCCCAGGGAATCATCTGGGGAGCACCTCCAACCCCGGCATCAGAGTGTGTGTGTGTGTGTGTGTGTGTGTATGTATTAATGCTCCACATATGTTACCCATAGCAAAGGTTGAAAATCACTGCAATTATGGCTTTAGAGAAGGAGGAAATATGACTCTTGGCACTGTGTAGAACTGCATGGGATAGAAACATGAGATCGGTATACCAATTGGGAAGTTAGTGCACGTCACAAATAGTAAAATGAAAGTAAACCGTATGTCCATTGAAAAGGAGAAGAAATCGGTTTAAAAACATTGGACTTCACAGGTGATTTAAAAGTGACAAATGTGAGGTTAGGGTTAACTATTACTCATACTTTCAAACCTGAATAATGGGGTTGGTAGTGCCATTCTTAGGAACAAAATGATTGAGAAATTTGGATTTTAGATCACACCGTGATAAATTGAGATTTTCTTGTGTATGTTTAAAATGAGAGGAAAGGTAAGCTGGTGGTGGTAACATGAAATAAAATGAACATTAAGGTTTGGAGAATTGTAGGGTTTAGAGCTTCAAAACAACAGGTATCATATTTA